CTTGAGTATATATAGATAGTATTCTATTACTTTATAGGCCTCTAGCTATTGTTTGACTGAAAGATCCCAGTCTTCTAATTTATCCAACAGGGTGAGTTTGATCTGTTTGAAGGATGATTAAGGGAAAGTCTTTAAGAGTTTCACCAGTCTCTAAGATTAGTGAGCCTAGCCTTTTTTTTTTAAATCTTTTTTAGTTTTGTTCCACATTTCTTCCCCACTTTATCCAGGATCTACTGAGATCCCTTAGAGTGGACAGCAGTGATATGCAGGGACCCTGTATTTCTTCTGGTCTCAAGGTGATGGAATTTGAATTTCCATGGTGTTTGAGAAGAGTAATGAATATGGGCAAGGCTAATGAAGCTTCATCTCACATACTTTGGGCATGTTCTTAGAAGAAGCCAGTCCTTGGAGAAGGACATCATTATTAGAAGGTTGAAAGTTTAGTGGAAGAGAGGAAGACCCTCAACAAGATGGATCAACCCAGTGATTGTAATGCTGGGCTCAAGCATATCAGAGATGATGAGAATGGCATATAATAGGGCAGGGTTCAGATCTGTTGGTCATAGAGTTGTCATGAGATGTATTTGACTTGTAGGTACCCAACAAGGAAATGGTGCTTTGTCTCAAGATCACTACAGTTTGCCAGACCAGCTGCCTAAACACTTCTGGCCTAGTCTGTCTCCTTGTTCACTGTTTATATTCTGTTTCTCTTTCTATTCGATGCTCAAGCTTCATCCTCCTGTTTGCTGCTCAGAGTTCCAAGAGTGTCAGCTGAGCCTGTTTTGTTTGCTTTTTCCTATCTTTTCTGTAAGGAGATGGCAATACTTCTGAGTGGTTTGCTTCTGAAACATCAAATCACTTGAAAACCCCATTGAGCACAATTTGACTCTCACATACTTGTATTGTCCATGAGTCAAAGTCAACTTGGCACAGCTGGCAATTTTGTCTTTTCTTGTCTGTTTTTCAATGTGAATTGGAAAAGTTGAAATTAAAGGCTCCTAAGTGGCTGGGATAGATGTGAGTGATAATGAATGAGCTATTCTATTCTATTCTATTCTATTCTATTCTATTCTATTCTATTCTATTCTATTCTATTCTATTCTATTCTATTCTATTCTATCCAGGTAACTACGTATAAAAGAGGATGATAGCAATGCAAGGTAGATTACATCAATCAAATAGAAAAAAATAGAGAAATAACCACATTGTAGAGGAAAATGGTAGCCAGGAAATCAAAAGACAAATTGCATTGGGGAAGCCTGTTGTCAGGGACCGCTCTAGAGTACTGAAGAGCAATGACGTTATTATGGAGACTAAGGTGCTCTGACACAGGCCATGGTCTTCGCAGTTACTTACTATGCATCAGAGAGTTGGATGATGTCTAGGGAATGATAGAAGAAGGATTGATGCCTTTGAGCTGTGATGTTAGAGAAAAGTGCCAAACATATTGCAGACTGTCAGGAGAACAAACAGGTCTGTCCTGGAGAGGGTGAAATCAAGCTGTTCCCAGGAAGCAAGAATTTTGAATCTCTGTCTCACATACTTTGGACATCAGGCCAGAAGGGAGCAGTCCTTGGAGAAGGGCATCATGTTTGTTAGGGTGGAGGGACAGCACAGGAGAAGAAGCCCCCCTGGATGAGATGGGTTGATTCAGTGACTGGAGAAGTGGGATTAGGTCTGTCAGACACAATGAGATTGGCTCAGGATAGGGCAGCCTTCAGAACTATTGTACACAGGGTTGCTATGAGTTGTAGGTGACCTGACAGCACAAAACAACAAGAGAGCAAATAATGTACTTTCTGTGCAGTTTGAATGTTATGCTTAGTGGGGGCATTTCAGAACACACAAGATGTGACTGTGACAAAGGAGTTAAGCATGGCAGACATGAAGATGTCGCAGGATGGAGTAAGGTCCAGCTCTGTTATTCTTAGGTCAACATGAGTCAGAGTTGACCCCAGGATACATCACAACAACAATAGTGCCAACTCTGCTTTACTGACTGTATTAGTTAATGTAAAAAAGTAAATAAAACTGCTCCAAGTGGGAAAAATAGAAGTACACTGTTCTGCTTACAGTTCTCTGGTGAAGAAGAGGTGAAATACTATCATTTTCAAATGATAAGACATTTTTCTTAGAGTCAAAAATGAATTAATTTAGTTCTGTGGTGATTCTAGTATTTCCTAGGTTCTTTCCTAAAAATTCTGGCTCAACGTATTTTTGTATTTTTCCTTTGCCTTGTGTTTTTGTCTGATTTCAGATAGTATTAAAATTCTGTAAAGCAGATGTGTTTGTCATGGAGGACCACTTTCTGGACACGATGCTGACCTTCATCCTGTACGGCTGGTCTACCATTCCCCTCATGTACCTGATGAGTGCTATGTATTCGGAAAGTACTGCTGCCTACATCAAGCTTGTCCTGTTCAACTACTTTTCAGGCATTTTCAGTCTTCTCATAGAAATTACATTGCAATACAGCAAGGGTAAGAACTGCATTAAATGTCCCCTTTCCTGAAAGGCAACAATAAATAATAAACAGGAATGGGCTTGCAGGTCTACAAACTTGAGTAAATAATTATGTCCTAGATTAGCTGGAGCAGCATCCACTTCCTAAACAACACGCCTCCGGAAACTCTATGAACTTTGGGAAATGTCAATAGTTGTCGAGGGCCTTCAGGCCTTTTGTTCACAGGGTCGCTATGAGTCATGTTGACTCAAAGGCAATCAACAACAGCAACAGATTAGCTGTGTGTGGAAGCTGGTATTGATGTAAATCCACAGATTAATTCTATTTACCTGTAATATTCTAGGCATTGCACTAGGACTAGCATCATTTTATTGAAGACATGTAATAAAATCTGATATACAGGCCCTTCAACATGATTCCTCCTCTCCAAACCTATCTCTTTGAGTTCTATCACATGGCCTTAAGAAATCTATTTTGCACTTGATGTTGGTCTTTCTTTTTTGGGGGGGGGGTGAAATGCAACAATTTTATCAAAAGAAAGTGCAATGAAATTTCTCGATAGTGTAAGAGAGGGAAACTTGGACACCACCCCTCAAGGGCAGGACCAAATGCAGAGTGGACTTTTTCTGGATGTTGTAGTCAGACAGGGTGCACCCATCTTCCAGCTGCTTCCCAGCAAAGATCAGCCTCTGCTGGTCAGGGGGGATGCCTTCCTTATCTTGAATCTTTGCCTTCATGACCTCGAGAGTGTTGGTCTTACCGGTCAGGATCTTCACAAAGATCTGCATGCACCCTCTCAGGTGAAGCACCAGGTGTAGGGTGGACTCTTTCTGGATGTTGTAGTCAGACAGGGTGCACCCATCTTTGAGCTGCTTCCCAGCAAAGATCAGCCTCTGCTGGTCAGGGGGGATGCCTTCCTCATCTTGGATCTTCGTTTTGACATTCTCAGTGGTGTCACTGGGCTCGACCTCAAGGGTGATGGTCTTGCCAGTCAAGGTCTTCAGAAAGATCTGCATTGTCTGGATCCGTTTGTTTGGTTTTTTCAGTCTGAAGTGGTCACCATGTTGCGGCGTCTGTCTGTCCGTGTCCCCTCACGGCCTCCTTCCTCCCGGCCCCGGCTAACCAGATGATCTCGCTGCCCACCGACCTCGGCAAGCGGCTCAGCCTGGCCCCTGCCCTCCTGATGTTGGTCATTCTTAAAGCTTTGGCCCTGAAATTCCTTTGCCTTAAAGAGAATAAAAAGCTGTTTTCCGTTTACTATGTATAAACTTCTGAAAGAACAAATTCTATCTCAAGCATATAAGACTGTGAATTAACTTTGAATATTGTAGACCTTTAGAGTGAAATGAAGAGGCAGAGAAATGAAGAAGAATCCCAAGCTCTTGGGAGTGGAAAACACTTCTGTTCTGGAAAGGTTTAATGGTGTGAAGAGGCACAAAACCCTAAATCCTCTAACAAGATGTTTTAGAAGGAAAGAAAATTGTGTGTGGACCTAACACACATGTAACTAAAATTCTTTTCTTTCCTCTTAGATCCAGTATGCACAGAAACTGTAACGTATATATTTCTTCATTTTCTTGCCTGATTATGATGTTTTTGGAGAGAATGTCAAGACCAAACAAACTTTCTGCTACAAAGGTTTCTATATTAGAACTAACTTGAGACCACTGTAAAATAGCCAACTACACTTTCTTGTTCATTGTCATCAAAGAATCTTCCAAATCATGAAAAACATCTACACTTTTTAATACATCCTCCAAAGGAAAATGTTGTGTTTTGATGCACTTCTCTGTTGAATCACTCTACGAATATTTCTTAACTGTTTTAAGCATATTCTCTACTGGTATTACAGAACTTTATAAGCACAAGTCTCCTTCCCCAATTCTTTAGTCCTATTATAAAATAATTTCTCCATATAAACTAACAATGAGGTTTTAGTTAATTTCTTTGCACACCTCTTCAAAAGAGATGTATGTTTCATGCAAGCAATACTTGGGTCCTGAATGCTGTTGTTGTCATGAGCTGTCAAGTCGGAACTCATACCTGATCCTCCAGCGGATTTTCAGAGGCAGTAGTAGTTAGAGAAAGGTTTCAGGTCTTCTGTTCATAGGGTCTCTATCAATCATGCTCCACTCGATGGCAATCAACAGCAAATCACATGGAAAGAGAGTGCTCATCTTTCTCACTTGGGACACCAGCTGGATTAAAACCACATGTCTTGGGTTGACAATGTGACTCCTTATCACTGGGTCCCCAGAGCTCTTTGAGTCCCTGAAGCAAGCTAAATTACTTGGGGTTTTTTTTTTTGTTGTTGTTGTTTTAAAATTGTATTTTATTTTATTATTTCTTGTGTGTGTACTGTCAAATCAGATCTGACTGGTACAGGAAGAGATTGTCCCTCCTTCTCCAGCAGAGCAAGCTAAATTACTTGTAAGAGCTGTGCTTAAGAGCTCACCGTGATAAAAGAATCCTATAAATTATGAAAAGCAATCTTCTATACACTTTGATACACCTCTCCAAAGGAAACTAATGTTACAAGAGGATAACTGATCTGCAGGCATTTGAATTTTTGAACCCTGACCTAGAATGAAATTCTGATGAATTGTCATGTAAAGGACTAGAGGAAAAATTGTTGTTTCAGAATAAGAATCAGAAGAAATTACTGGTAACCCTGCTGTACCCAGTACCATCCTCACCATCTCTGACACACATGAGCCCATCGTTGAAGTCACTCTGTCAGTCTATCTTGTTGCAGCTCTTTCTCTCTTACATTGACCTTTTCGAGCATAGTGTCCGTCTATGAGGTCTGGCCTGTCCTAACAACATGCCCGGAGTATGTGAGATTGATTTTTACTGTGTTTGCCTCCAAGGAGTAGCCCTAGTTTCACTTTCTCCAGGATGAATCTGTCTGTTCTTTTGGCAGTATTCAGTGCTTTTCTCTAACATTGCAATTCAAAGGCATCAGTTCTTCTTCTGTCATTCATTGTGAAGCTTTCGGATGCATAGCAAGTAATTGAGAAGACTATGGCTTGTATCAGGTGTGCCTTAGTCTTTAAACTGGCATTATTGCTCTGTAGTTCTCTGGACAGGTAGGTCCCTAATAGCAGATTTTCCCAGTTCAAGTCATCTTTTGATTTCTTGTCTGCTGTTACCAAAGATGTTTATTGTGGATCCAAGTAAGATGAAATTGTTGACAGTTTCTGTCTTTTCTCCACCTACAATGATGCTCTTGATTGCCCCGGTGGTGAAGATTTTTGTTTTCTTGATGGTGAGATGTAATCCGTATTGAAGAGTATAGCCACGCAATAATGAATGAATGGGGGGGAGGGGAAATGTATCGATGATTTAATGAAAAGCCAATATGCTTTATAAATGTTCACTCAAATAATAATTTTAAAAGTCTTAAAAAAAAAGAGTATAGCCTTTGATCTTCCACAGTGAGTGTTTTAAGTCCTCTTCACTTTCAGCAAGCAAGGTTGTCAACTGCATAATTCAGGTTGTTGATGTGTCTTCCTCTAATTCTGGTGCCACATTGCTCTTCATAAAGCCCAAATTCTCAAACTATTTGTTCAGTACACAGATTGAGCAATCATGAAGTTAGGATATTGCCCTGACACAAGCCTCTCTTGATTTTAAACCATGTTCTATTTCTTTGCTCTGTTCATACAACTTCCCGGTCTAGGTATAGATTTTAGATGAGAATAAATTATATGTTCTGGGATTCTCATTCTTCTCAATGATAGTTATACTTTGGTTTCATCCTCACAGTCAATTACCTTTGCATAGTCAATAAAATTCAGTTAGACCTCCTTCTGGTATTGTCTTTCAGCCAACATCCATCCTACTTCAGTAAAGGTATTTCTCGTACCACAGCCTCTTCTAAATCCAGCTTGAATTTCTGGCAGTTCTCTGTCAATGTACTGTTCTAGTTAATTTTTTTTAATGATCTTTAGCAAGATTTTGCCTGTTGATGATATTGTTCAGTAATTTCCACATTCTATTGATTCACCTTATTAACAAATGGAAATAAATATGGATTTCTTCCAGTCAGTTGGCCAGGTAACTGTCTTCCAGATTTCTTAGCATAGACTTGTGAGCACATCCAGGGTTACATGCATGTGTTTGATGGAATATGTCAAGAGTTGTCCCACAAATTCCTGGGGCCTTATTTTTTACCAATACCTTCAACGCTGCTTGAATATCTTCCTTTATTACCATTGATTCTTAATTATATTCTACTTCCTGAAATGATTCTGTGTGAGTCAACTCTTTTTAGTAGAGTGATATTGTATGTTTTCATTTTCTTTTGATGCTTCCTGGATTATTCAAGATTTTGCCAATAACATCCTTCAGCATTGAAACCCAAGCCTTGAATTTATTCTTCAGTTCTTTTAGTATGAGAAATGCCAAGTGATTTCTTCTCTTTTGATTTTCTCTAGCTCTTTGCACATTTCATTAGAATAGTTGCTTTGTCTTTCCTAACTACTCTTTGAAATCTTCTGTTTAATCCTTTTCCTTTATCATTTCTTCTCTCTGTGTTGGCGTCTTGGCATTGTAATGCAATTTTCAGAGTCTCTTAGAGTGTTCTATTTTGATCTTTTCTTTCTCCTCTGTCTTTGTAAATACCTTTGGCAATTAGAAAGTTAAAAGGCACCAGTACTTTTCAGTAGTATAGCACATAACTCTTAATTATAATTTATAAAAAAATGGTGAGCTGTAAAGAAAATATGGAATTGACAGAGGCCTATAGCTAAGTAAAATCAAGTATGTTGTTGTTATTGTGTGCTATGAAGTCGCTTGTGACTCATAGAAACCCTATGTACAACAAACAGCCCTAAACCCTGCTCTATCCTGTGCCAATCTTATTGTCTTTGACATGCCTATCCCATTACCCAGTGATGGAATCAATCCTTCTCATCAAGGGTCTTCCTCTCCTGAGCTGTCCCTCCACCCTCCCAAGCATGATGTCCTCTCCAAGGACTGATCCCACCTTGAAACATGTCCAAAGTATGTCAGATGGACCTTCAGAATCCTTGCCTTCAAGGAGCAGCCTGGCTTTACTCTCTCTAGGATA